GAGACCTCGTCTCAAAATGAAAAATAGAAAGGGCTGGGGGGTAGCTCAGTGCGAAGGCCCTAGATTCAATCCGCAGTAGAGGAAAAAAGCAAGTGTGTTAGCAAGCTAGCTATTATTATTGTTGTTGTATTAATCTAAAAATCTGCTGAAAATAACATTTCTTCCAGTTGATGTTTTCTTTGAATATATTCATGCACATATGCACAATTTTATATGAAAAAGGTTATTACAAGCAGCATTTCTTAGCATATTTTTCCTTTATTTTTCTGCTTGCCTCTCTCCACAAGATACACATCCTTCCGTCCTTGTCATCAAAATCCTACAGTCTTATACATATATACAGTTGTATGACTATTGCTTATTTTCCAAAAGGAGAACTATGTGACACACACTTCTTCGCATCTTACCAAGTGAAAATCCCCCAAATCAGTAGGGAAATCATTCTGTATCAATGACTCTGGAATCCAAACTATTCCCCCTACCTTCACTGCTCTGGCCTCTCTCCCTAGTGTGAGACTAGAAGCACAGAATCTTTTAACACACACACACACACAAAATAGTGACGACGCAAAACCACAATTTCTTGTTTTGGCAAGAAGAGCTCCAATGAGAAGAAAACCTTTGGTCTCTTCCCCTCAAAAAGCAGAACCACAGAATGCATTCTGGGAGCTTTCTCCCCACAATGGCTGCTCCTCGGGGACCCCGGCCCGGTCAATTTCAAGCAGACCCTCTGGGAGCCTGAGAGTGGCAGGTCCTGTCGCCAGCCAGGGGTCTGCTGATGTACCACCACCCTGAATCTCCACCGACTCATGCTCTCCTTCTCATTCCACCCAACATGCCCATCTTGGGAACTAGAAGCACCTGTTCGAGGACTGGCCCCTTGCAGGCAGGATACCCAACTGATCCACCCAAGAGGCAAGAGGCCCAAGACTCACATGGCCTTTTCCTTAAAGGAGGAGTCTTTGAGACCAAGAGACAACCTCATTTGCCCCTTTCCCATAGCAGCACATTCCCAAAACACACCCCAGCATTCAGAGACACTGCTCTGGGACCGTTAGCACCTTCCTGCCAGCTTGTACTGATGGTACGTGCATGACTGCCCCATTGGGTGGTTTGTTTCACAGGTGGTACAAACAGATCTAATCACTTCCATCTGTCTTTTATTAATAAAAAGCTGCGCAATGGGACAGTCATTCAAGCTGCTGGGCAGCAAGACATACAAATTACGGTCCCTCGTGAGTGTTGACCTCAGGCTAGTCCAAGACTCATGATACCCCATCACACAGGTGCTGTACTGCACCCACTGTACAGATGGGGAAACTGAGGCAGGGATCAGGTTGGCAATCCACCCAAGACGACCTACAGCTGCTGTGGGGGAAAGCCAGCATATAAACACAAGTGGCTTGGTTCTCTGGTCCCACACTCAACTCACAGCACAGACAGACCTGGAGGACAGAGGAAGACTCGGAGCTGCTGTGCCCACTCTGTTGCAGAAGACAGACCAGTTATCAAAGAGGGGACGAGGGTGAGGCAAAAGGGCCACACAGACTGAGATCAAAGCCCACTTCTGTCACCGTGATAAATCACATCCATGTGCCAAGGCCTTCCTTACCTGGTGAGTCAGGCGCAGTCTGCAAAGTGGCTGGGGACCTGGTTAAAGCCTAGCAATGCTGTCTCCATGACCCAGGGCAGCTCACTTAAACAGGCTTTGCCTCAGTTCCCTCGTCTGTCAATGCAGATAACAATGGCACCCCCTCCTTAGGGAAGGTTAAATGCATAGCTGTCAGATGGTAAGTGACAAGCACCAGCTCTTATTCGGGGACAACTGTCGTGTGACCATCCTGATTATCTCAGCCCAGGCGCACACAGGGAGCACCCTAAGGCCAAGTGGGCTTCTAGAAGCTGGGGTCCCAGGTTCCCAGTCACGACCTCTGAGGTCCACCATCTGGGTGAGGTCCTGCCCTGGCCTTTTCATGACTGCCAAATAAACACCCGCAAAACTCCTTGGAAATGGAGATAGGGTGCAGTCCAGTGCTGGAAGGGGATGAGGAAAGATGGGGAGATTTTGGAGGAACCACAAAGCCCTAGGCCCGGAACAGACCAAAACCGCTGATTCCTGTGGCCGGAGTTTAGAGGGTCAAAAGGAAACTCCATCTGAGCCCCTATCCTCCCCGCAGTGCTGACTCAAACCTCACTCCCTCCAGGCAGCCCTCCTTGGTCACCCCTGCTCTCTGGGTACTGAAAGCCCTACCTTACTCATCTATGCTATTAGCTTCATTTTCATATAGCAATAATAACTAATGTGTACAGTCTGCCAAAATCTCCACTAAATGTTTTAAATTGTGTAACTTACTTATCCTCTTCAAAAACCTGTAAAGCAGGCTCTAATATCATCTCCCATTTTACAGGTGAGAAAAGTAAGGATCAAAAATGTTAAGCGGCTTGTCCCAGATCACAAGTCCACGGACTTGGCCCAAGCAGCCTGGCCCTGGGGCCCAGCCTTGAACTTGGATTTCTTAGACACTCATTTTACCTCCATGAGCCAGACTCCTGGAGGACAGGAGCCCTGACCTGGCTTCTTGGCATCTCCCGGGGTACTCAGCCTATACTGGAGGCTTCAGTTCCACTGGTTAGCAGGACCTTCCAACCAGGGACACCAGGGGGGCCAGGGCAGCCCTGTAAGTCCTACCTATGCCACATGGGACTGAGGGAAGACATGCTTCCCAGCCAGCAGCAGGGGGAATCCTTAACAAGCATAAAGACTGCAGGGGGAAGTTTCACCACCCCCAGAGAAAGCCCTGGCCATGAGCAGGGCCAGCAGGGGCAGCCCAGGTTTCCAAGACAGAAACACCTTGGGTTCTTTGGCCCATTCCCTGCAGGCTGGACACTGGAGGGCTCTGGCCTCTCACAAACCAAGTCCAGCCGCTCAGGTTACACAATCAACCTGCTTCTGGCACCAGCTTGGGGACTGCACAAAGGAACAAAGCAGAAAAGAAGCCTGGATTTCCCTCCTTTCATTGTACAGATGGGGAAACTGAGGTTAGCCAGGTGGCACGACTGGTCCAAGACATTCATCAAAGTCAAAACCAGCTCATCTCAGAACAGACCTGTCAACACCAACAACAGAAATGTGACAAACTCAGCAAATCGAATGGCCCAGAGGTGATGTGGAAGGAGGGAAAGCTCTTTTTTCCTCCCAGTTTCTTTAATAAAAAGAATGTTGACGCCAATCAGTTTCCATTATTCCAGCTTCCTCAGACTCTACATGAGGATGCTGTAAAACCACAGTTGACCCAACACAATCTTGATCTGTTCCAAAAGGAACCACACCATCTCAGTCAGGCAAAGGGCTGGGAGGGAGTGGTGTATTTTCTTTCCCATTAATACAAAAATTGGTTTACGTTTTCTGTTTCTCTTCCAGACCGAGGAGCAGGGAGTGGCGTGGGGGGAGAAGTGAGGAGTTCCCTAGAATATGACATTGCTCAGAGATGCCAGGGCTGTCTACATCTTTAATTCAGAAACTGCCAGCTTCAAATACAGCAGATTCTTCTTGAGAGAGAGAGAGAGAGAGAGAGAGAGAGAGAGAGAAAGAAAGAAAGAAAGAAAGAAAGAAAGAAAGAAAGAAAGAAAGAAAGAAAGAAAAAACTGAGCGAGAAAGAGGTGGAAAGATGGCCAACCCTGACTTATCCTCACAGGCCTTTGGAGAAGGGTCCTTTGGCCAAATGGCTTTCAATGCCTCTGCACACCACCTCCCCCAGACACACACCTTTCACTGGGAAAGGCAGCAGGTTCCCCTCCCTGAGTGGGAACTGAGGCCTCACACAGCCCTCCCTGCACCTTCAAGCCACCCCTCAAGACAGGAGGGAGGCTGTGAGTCTCCCTCTTTTACCTACAGGGGTGGGGGGCTGCAGAGCCTGGCTCTGGGGTCTCTGAAACAGCCACCACCCCCACACCAGCCCTTCCTGAGCCAGGATTAAGACTTCCTCGAGCAGAGAAGGGGAGTAAATGAGGACCCAGCAGGAGGCTTGGAGATTAAAGCCCCTGGAGTCTCTAACTTCCATCCCGGTCTCTGGCCGGTCCCACCCCCTCCTTCACCACCCCCAACCGCTTTTCTCACTTCCTAGGAGGGTAGGGAAGTGGCCCCTTCCTCCCTCTCACAGAAGAAAACAGAAAGAGAAGCAATTGCAACTTAGAACAGGCGTTTAAAGCACCGGCACGGACTACCATGGTTCAAAGCTCAGAGAGTATCCCTGCTTAACCAGCTAGGTGATCCTACTCAAATCACTCAACCTCTCTGGAGCTGAACTCTCCCAGTCTTAAAAACAGGGGAAACATTTGTTCCTATTTTATGAGCCACTTACGAAGGCTAAACCTGTTTAGGACAGATGTAAGGTGCCTGGCACACCACACTATGAGCGTTCGGTTGTTATTTTACAAAGTCTGAGCCTGTGGCTTTGCAACGCGAGCAGGAGGGAGGGCAGTTAGGAAGCCTAGACTTCCGAATACTGAGTTAGAAACGCGCTCCCCGACCCCAGAAGGTGTTCGGCGGGTTGTCCATCGGCGTCCCTCCTCTGGGCTCGGGTGCTACCCTGTTCTTTGTGGCGCTGGGGGACGCTGGGTCCCGGATTTCCAGGGTCTGCCCACACACGGAGTCGCCGGTGCGGCGAAGTTGTTCCCGGCAAAAAGGAGCAGCAGCTAAGAAAGCTCCCGGCTCCTGAGTCCCAGAGCCCCCGCCCCGCGGATGTAACTAATTTTAAAACTATTTGAAAGGCGAGGAGGGGGGAAGACAAAAGGGCAGCGCGACGGGGGAAACCGAGTACGGGAGACCCCGAGTCGGGCTGGCCGGGGAGGCGGCATCCGGCTCCGGGGGGCCTGGGTCCCCGCTTCTCGCCGCGGCGACGCTCCAGCCCCCTGGGGACCGCGGCCACAGGTTGTGGGAAGCGCGGCAGGGGCTGGAGGCCGGCGCCCAAGGTTGTCCCCACGTCCGGGGCGACACTCACCGACTGTAAAAAGCGCAAGGTGCCCACGTAGTCCCTCTCGGTGCCCAAGATCTCGTTGAGGACGCAGAGCCTGAGGCGCAGCTGGCGCTCGGACTCCCGGGCGGCAGTGCACGGGCCGGGGCCGGCGCTGGGCTCAGCAGCCCCGGGGGTCCGGGAATCGGGGTGGACACCGTCCGCAGCCCCGTCGCCTCTCGGGTCGCCGCCGCCGCCGCTGGGGTCGCCGCCGAGTCCCTCCATCCTAGCGCGGCCGCGCGGCGCCGGCTCCGTCCCTGCGCGAGGTGACTCAGGCGCCCAGGCGCCCCATCCCGGACGGGGCGCGCCGGCGGCCGGTCAGCTGCGGGCCCGCGCTGGAGCGGCGGGCGGGCCGGGGGCGGGCGCTGCGCGGGGCTGGAGGGGGCGGCCCTCGGGACTCGCGGGCCACCGCCACCACCGCCCCCGCCGCCAGGGAGCGTCTGCCAAGTGCCACGCCGCGCTCGCGCCGCACAGGCGCTCCGCGCGCACCGGGCCCTGGAGACGCGCCGCACGCTCGGCGCCGACGTCGGAAGCTCCGCGGGGCGCAGGCGGGAACCTCGGGAACCTCCGGAAGGGCCCGCGAAACAGGGAGGCCGGAGCAGCGCGCGCCGTGGAGAGCGCACCAACTCGGCGCCCGGACGCGTGGCGTCCCCGCCCGCGGGCTACGCCACTCCCACCCCGACACGCGCGACACCCGCCCGGCGCGGGCACAGCACGCAGGTCCGGGCCGCGGATGCCGCCGCTTGGCGGAGGGAGCCCCGGGCTGGAAGAGCAAGACAGCAAGCCCGCCCGCCACGCGCGCCCCCGCCGCCCCAGGAAGAAAGGGGGCGGCCACTGCCGGGTCGGTGACGCCCTCGCCTCGACACCAGGGCCCCGGGTGCCCTCCGGCCTGCTACGACCTTGGAAAGGAATATGCAAGCCCGTGCTGACTGGCTGATTTCTCTTTCCGTTTCTTATTCTTTTCTTCCTTTCTTTTCCTCTTTCTTCCTGAACTTATTTGTTCGCGACCCTGCTCTTTCTACCTTTCCCAGAGGAAATTATTACAAGCGGCCTTGCCCGCGCCCCCTCCTATGCGCCCCGCATAAAACCTTGGGAAACCCAGGTTCCGGTCAGGCTGCTCTGTGTGACCTTGGTGAGCATGGGACCCTTTGACAAAGGTCCTCACCTGCCTTAGAGGAGGTATGGACAGGTGAGGAGACCCAAGGACCCAGAGTTAGCTGCTCACATTTAGCCCAGCTCCTTCACTTGCTAGCGGGGTGACCTTGGCCTCAGGGTCGTCAGTGTTCCCTTCAGTGCAATGGGAATAACAGAGGACTTAGCTCATAGTTCCTGCGCTAATCCATGAGAAGGACTTGGAACAGCTCCCTGCACCTAGAAAGTCATCTGCCAGTGTCACTTCTGAGTGGGCGCTACATGTGTGAACCGTCGTCCTCTTGGCCTGGCTCCTCTCGCTAAACTGCCCCAACAGTTCCTCCCCTGCCCCAGTTGTCTCTGCAGTGGTTTAGCTCATCCACATTGTAGTCCCCTCTACACTGCAATCATCTTTGGGACAGGGACACATTGCTGATTTATTTCTGTTCCATATGCCTAGGATTGTCCTCCAGTGGGCTTGGGATAGATACCTCAGGTGCCTCAGGACACAGTGGGGTGGCTCCTGCCTTCCAGAGCTCAGTTTCTTTGAGATCTTGGGCAGGGTGGCATTTGATCTGGGCCTTGGGTGAGTGAAAGTGTCTCGAACAAAGAGTAGAGGATGAGAGGCACTTAGCCAGCAGGTGCTGGCGGTGGAGTCCCTGGTGTCCAGAAGGTAGCTAGCCTTTTGCTCTCAGGTCTCTCCTAACCTAGGAAAGGTTTCTGCAGAGCTCTGCTGTGTGACCTTATACTTGTCACATCTCTTTGAGCTTCAGTTGCCTCATTTTGAAATTAATGCTTTGTTTTACAAGGGTGTGGTCCTGTACCTTGTAGGACACTTAGAAGCACACTGTGCCCACCAGGTGCCACTATGAGAGCCCCAGACTGCCAGGTATCCCCTGGGGTACAGAATGACCCCTCTTTGAAAGCCACTGGTAAGGTACACAACACAGGCTCATAGATGGAGCCCATCCCGCCCAGTCTTTCCCATCCTCTCCCTCACGTTCTCCTTCCCCACCCCTGGTGACAATGGCATCATTAAATGATACAACCTTTAATAAGCTGCTGCAGCACTCAAGCCTCCTTTTCCTCTCCTGATACCAGAACCTTGCTCACAGGGTTGTTGCAAGATTCCCCTGTGGACGGTGCTCAGAGACTCAGCGAGTGCTCAGAAAGTGAAGGCTTTCGTTGACTCCACTCATGCACTGAGTGCTGGATCCATTAGGATGCATTTGCCTACATGGAGGAGAGTTGGGCTCCTGATGGCTCGGAACATAAGGACATTGTTTATTTTGTAAGAGGCCCAGAGGAAGTTGGTTCCTAAGGCTGGTTCAGAACCTGTTGATGTCATTAAGGCACCTCTGACCCAGCTAGTCCCATCATGGTGGCTTTCTCTCCCAAGGTTTGGGGCCTCAAGGTCACACGATAGCTGCTGAAAGGGCACCATCACCTCCTCATGCAACAACTCTGTGGCCAGAAAGCAAAGGACAAAGGGGATTTCCCTCTGCACCTCTCTTTTTTGGGGGGTGGGGGTGTTAGCCCGGAGCAGGTCAGGATAGGATTATATGGCCACCCTTGAATAATCCCTGACCAAGAGCAAGGATTGCTACCATCGAATTAGAACAGTCCTGCTTTTCCAGGCATATGGCTGCCTGAACAACTTGACACTAATGTGGAACATCTAGCAGTGCTGGCCACAAGAACCAGTTACCATGCTCTGGGCCTCGGGAGAAGCACTGAGACTTCAGTGGTGAACAACCAACAATGTTTAGGCCCTTGTGGAGGAGGGGGCCAGAAGAAGATGAATTAGACAGCAGGGCCCTTCTGTCTTTCAACCAGCGAGTGATGACGGCCTAGTATGCGCAGCTGGGCCACAGCAGTGAGCCCAACCAATAAGCTCCCTGCCTCTGGCACATTCGGTCCAGAGCTGAGGAAGAAGGAAAATAACCAAATGACAAATAAACAAGATCCTTTCAGAGGCCAAGGATTTAGCTCAGGGGTTTCACCGCCTGCTGCGCAAGCGCAAGGACCAGAGTTCGATCCCCAGTACCAAAAAAAAAAAAAAAAAAGATCCTTTCAGCTTCACTAGGCCTGAATAGGATGAGCCTGGGAAGCCAGAGTTGGTTGGTGGCACCTTCAGCCTCTGCCTCAACACACTGCCTACCCCCAGCCACATGACTCAGACAGGGGTGCCCACCTTCGGCGGGATCAATGGGGACTCCCTGGGTTCAGGGCCTGGCTGCCTCCCAGTTAATCCTGGCACGGCAACTCACTGAATCATACATGACTAGGCAGTGCCAAGCTGGGGGACCTTTTCCTTCCTATCCCCACTTCATTCAGCCTTGACCTCTCCCCACTCCTTCCATCACCCCCATTCATTCCGTATGGGATCTCTGGGTCCCACACATCTCTCAGGGCTGGGCCTGAAAAAGGCTGAAACTGGGAAACCATCACCAAAAGAACAGGGAAGAAGAAGAGGAAGAAAAAAGTCAACTTTCGGTTCAGAGAGAGGGAAAAAAAGTGATGACAGTGACAGGAAAATTCTCTTCTGTGGGGACAATTTTAGTCTCTGTTGCCATGCCCTTCACAAATGCTGGGAAATACCGTTGCATTTGCTGCTAAGTTGCACAATGGTCAGGGAGAAGACTGCGGTGTGAAAACATCAGAAAGATAGTTCCTTATTCCCAGACAAGACCCTGTCAGGTTCTGCCAGCTCAGGATCCCCAAACCCTCTCCCTAATCTCTGTTTAAGAGAAAAAATCATTAAGAGAAAACAAGGAGAAACGAAGGCTGACTTGTTTTCCTATCCCAGCTCCAATGAGTCAGGTGCAAAGTGAGTTACTGCCCTGCCCAGGAGCCCCAGATGCAAATGAATTCTCAGCAAGTCAGGCTTTCCCTACTCTGACCAAGAGCAGCTTTCTGAGGAGAGGAGAGGGGTCCTCCACCCTTGGACCTGGGAAGAACAGATGCCAGTCGGACCCAACACTGGACACAGCCCATACTTCATTGCTTCTGACCAAAATATTCATTTCCATGTAGTCCTAGCTGAGCTGCTTCTCCCAAGGAAGCCCTCCTGTTGGAAGCAGATCTCTCCAGAGGGCTCTGGTTCAAGATCTGATTGGAGCATAACAGATATCAGATTAAGTCAGGCCTCCAGAGCTTTGCCAAATCCCATTGGTGCCAGAAAGTGTTGGAAGCACAGCTTGGAGAAAGTAGGCCCGGGAATGCCTGAGACCCTCTGTTCAAAACCCCCTCTGCCACTGACATTCATGCCTTCTTTCCAGCCTTTGGACATTCTGTGGCTCTAGAGACCAGCTCCCTGGGTTCAAATCCCAAACCAACCACTTCCTAATTGTGTGACTTTTTGCAGATGACTTCACTTCTCTGGGGCCAATAAGAGTTCCTACCTCAAAGGAAGATTAAGGTAGATTAAAATGCCTAAGAGATCTAAAGTGTTCAGAACGCCTCCTAACCCTCCCAGGAGTTTGTATAAGCTGATCTGAGTGAGGCAGGCCATGATGTCTGGAAGTATGGCAGCCATTTTGAGACCCTGAAGGATGACATTGCTGACCAATTGGAGAGGCAAATGCAAACGGCAGATGGAAAGAATTTGGATCTTTTCTGTGACTGACCTCCTGAATTAGCCAACCATGGAACTGCCCTACCTCTGGACCTCTTGTATTATAAGATAATAAAATTTCCTTATTATTTAAGCCAATTGAGTGTAGTTTGCTTAACCTATAACTGATGTGCCTGCCTTGCCCCGGATCACTTCCCACTTCAATGAACTGATTCCTTTATTGATGAAATAATCACACACCCAGTGTACAGGAGATAACTCCAGGTCATGCCTGTTGTCTCAGCATAATTATTAACACCATCCCAACCTGGGCCATATGGTCTCCCTTGCCTTGCAAATAAGTATAGCTCGTTTGCTCTTTTAAAATACAGATGTCCCCAAAAGGTGCTGATCTCTACTATATCATTTTCCCAATGAAGGCTCATAACATGAAGAGTGACTTGAGGTAAAATTAAGAAAACAGTTGAGGAAGAGATCAGTGCATAGAAAGTAAATTCTGTAACTTCATCAAGGCCAGAGACTGACCTGGATGGTATATCTTGAAATTCTGCAGCCAGGAATGCCAGATGGTTTCAACAGACGTACTGGACACA